TATATCTGGACGACGTGATTGTCTTTGGCAAAACTTTTGAGCAGGAACTGGGGAGGCTGTCGGAGTGTTTGGCCGGTTCCGGGCTGCACACCTTAAACTGAGCCCAAAGAAATGTTACTTGTTCAAGAAGTAAGTTCAATATCTGGGACTTACAGTTAGTGAAGACGGAGTATGCACAGACCCAGAGAAGGTGGCCAGTGCCAACTTGTATAAGGGAGCTGCGTAGTTTCCTTGGCCTTTGTACCAACTACCATCGATTTGTTAAGAACTTCACCACGGTCGCAGCACTGTTGCACAGCTGACTAAGAAGGGGCAGAAGTTTGTGTGGACTACTGAGAGTCAAGGCTCCTTCAACAAGTTAAAGGATGCCTTGGCCTGCTCCCTGGTGCTCCTGTATCTGGACCCAACTCAACCATTCATCTTGGACTGTGATGCTAGTGATGATGGCATCGGTTGGGTGCTGTCCAGGAAGAAGGATGACATCAAGTACGTAGTGGCATACTACAGCAAGAAGTTAAGCCATCCAGAGAGAAATTATTGTGTGACCAGAAAGGAACTCTTGGCTGTGGTAAAGAGCTTAGACTTTTTCCATCCCTACCTGTATGGATCTAACCTCACCATCCGGACTGACCACACAGCATTATGGTGGCTTAAGACTGTGAAGAACCCAGAAGGACAAGTGGGTCAGCACAATTGTACCATCCAATACAGGCCTGGGCAGATACATGGGAACTGTCTGAGCTGACGACTGTGTGATTCTGATTGTCATCAGTGTTGCCGGAGAGAGGCACTTTCCAAGAATGTAGTTGTACTACAGTGAAGGAAGATCCAGCTATTGCCGAGGAAGACCAAGACCTGCGACCAGTGGTCGAGTGGATGAGCCAGAGCTCAGTGAGGCCAGCATGGGAGATGATCTCTGGAGCAAGTCCTACCACTAAAAACTACTGGGCTCAATGGAATGATGCTTTTTGGCTGACGGATGGTCTGTTGCAGCACCAGTGGGTGATTACAGATGGCCTGAACAGGTACTGGCAGACAGTGAAGAAGACCCTGAGTTGCCTGCGGCAAAGGTTTTACTGGGTTGGCATGCATAAGGATGTGGAAGAATGCAAAGTCTGCTGTGCCAAGATGGGACCAAAGCTACACATGCGTGCTCCACTGCAGTTGTACTATGCTGGCACTCCAATGGAGAGGGTCGCAGTGGATATTGCAGGACCTCTGCCACTCACTGTAGATAGGATAAGGTACATCTCTTTTGTCAGGGATTACTTCACTAAGTCGCCAGAATCATATGCCATCCCAAATCAGGAAGCCACAACTATTGCCAGGGTGCTGGTTGACCAGTTCTTTTGCCTGTTTGGTGTGCCCCACGAGTTACACTCGGACCAGGGCAGAAACTTTGAGTCAGTTGTGTTCAGCGAATGCTGTAAACAGTTGGGCATAAGGAAGACTAGGACCACTCCACTTCGGCCATAGTCAGATGGAATGGTGGATAAATTTAAATGGACCTTGGGACAAAAACTGGCCAAGTACTGTGCTGAGGGGCAAAAGGAATGGGACCTGAAGCTGCCTGCTCTGCTGATGGCATATTGGTCGGCTGCCCACGAGTCAACTGGATACACTGACAAAATTGATGCTGGGTCACGAACTGCGGCTGCCAGTGGACCTGCTGACAGGAAGACCTACTGATGAAGACCTTCCTGAAGAAACCGTCAGTTATGTCAAAAGCCTCCAAGAAAGGTTGATGGAGGTCCACCGAGTTCAAGGAGCTCTGGAGTTCACAGGTGAAGTGATGAAGCGCAACCATGATGTCAGAGCAAACCAGGTCTGTTACAAGGACGGTGATAAGGTCTGGCAATATAACCCTCTGCGGAAGAAGGGTCCATGGGAAGGATCATACATTGTAGTGGAACGCCTTTCAGATGTGATCTACCGGATCACGGGAAGAAGGAAGGCTCAGCCGAAGGTAGTCCACGTCATTCGTCTGTGGCACTATCTTGGGCCAGAGCAGTATACCTGGGAAGACTTAGAGGAGCAGTCACCAATCACCGATGAGGACCAAACCAGTGATCCTGGAGGAACTCAGGGCTGTACCAATCCGGGGAACCTGACCATAGACCAGGAAAAGGAACACTGTTCCCTCTTAAGGATTCCCTCTTAAGGATAGTTGGATGTGACAGGAGAGGGGGTCCACTCCGAGAATGTGACTGAGGTTTCTGCACAAAGAGAGGACTCAGAAGACATACCAGTACATCGGCAGAAAAAGAGGGGACTTACCAAGTTTCAGGATTATTATGTTTACAGTAATATCTCCGTTAGCCAGAATCCCTAAAACCAGGAAATCTCCGATAGCCGGAATTGAAATTTTCTCGGAAAATCGTTCCTAAAGCCTGAGTTTTCCATAAATTTATGGTTTTAGGAACGATTCTCTGAGGGGCATATTTTCTGGAAAATTTTAACTGTACCCAGAAAATTGTGGGGATGGGTGAATTCTTCCGGGTTTGAGAGATGAAAATCAGGGGCACTTTCTGGAAATTCCGAGAAAAATTTGGTGCCCAGAAAATTCCGGGGATGGGGGATATTTTTCCGGCTTTGAGGGAGTCATCTCCTTACCCTGAAGTCTCTCATTCCTGGAAGTGCTCTGCACCAATTGTTCCGGCTAACGGAGATATCACTGTAATACCCTACAATCTTATTTATTAAGTGCTGATAGATAAAAACTTTTATTTATTAAGGGGTGATAAATTCAATACAGTACAGTAAAGCCTCGAATAACGACGACAATAATAATGAGATGCGGTCCAAAGTGTGACCTTTTCATATCTTTTGTGTGGCTTTTTCCCTCTTTTCCCCCAAAACAATAAAATTAATGAAAATTACAAACTATATTCTTTAAATAATGTTTATGAATGCTCCTTATACAATATAAATCAATAATAATTCTATGGTCACACAATAGGAGATGGGACGCTATTGTTTTTGTCAGTGTTTACACCCAGGACGATGGTTCTACATAAGAAACTGAAGAAAAGAAGATCCTGGTTGTAGCTGTAGTAAAATTAATGTAAAAAAAAAAATATTTGTTTTAAGTAATGTTAATAAATGGAGCAATAGAAGTAGCTAACCACTAATGGTAAAGAAAAAAAGCGAGACATATTGGGAATGCCAACGTATGTAAGTGCGTACATGTGAAAACATATCGTCATTTCTCTACATAAGAATATGAAAGCAAAACTTTCTACTGTTTGTGTATGTTTTAAATGATACTTATTAATGTAAAACAAGAATTCTATTCACCAATGGTGGTAAAGTCTAAAACATAAGGACAGCCAATGTTGTTGTGAGTTTTTACTCGGATGACGAATTCATCAGGTTCAACTCTGGCTGAAGCTGTAGGTTTCCATAAAGAAGCCATAGGTGTTGTTGAAACTGTTACTGAACCTGAAGTTGTTGCTGAGGCTGCTTATGATGCTGAATTTGATGGTGTGGCTGAAGTTGATGATTTAGGCCTTCAAATAATAAAGCTGTCAAAAGAACCTTGCACAGCTGCTTTCTTTTCTCATTATACATCTTTATGTAGACGTTATTTGTGTTTATTTAAATTTTAATGCTTTGTTTTGTTCATGGATCCACTTCAGAAAATATGTTCATTGCTTGCTCCAATAATCTCCACAGACCTCTCACCCTTTTCATATCGTTTTAACACATCTAGTTTCTCGGCTAAGCTTATACACTTTCTATTAGCTTCTGAACCAGCACTACCATCACTTGCTCTCCTGCTCATGTTGAATAGGGAAGCAAAAATGCCATAAGAAACCTGAGAAAGTTTTTCTTCTTTTCCGGTTCAGATGCATGAAAACAAAAGGCCCGCCAAGCTGCGACTGTTTATGCTAGTGATGCTGGCTTCACCACTCATAAGTCCGGCAGTCTGCGCAAGTAATAATAATAATAATAATTCATATTAGGATTTAGTTATTATTTATATGAAAATGTAATGTTATTTTATATTTTAATCTATTTTATTCGTAAACACGAAGAAAATTTTGGTGTAAATTGAATTGGGTCCTAAATTAACCAGGGTCTTAAATATGAATCGTTGTTATCGGTGGCTTTCCTGTACTAATTCACTAAGTACTGAAGACATGTTGTGGTAAGCATGAGTGGTAAGTGGTGAGGGAGATAGGCCTATCAGCTGTTTGCTCTTTGTAAGCAATTGACTCATGGTGTTGAGTGTGGGATTCTTTTGGGGGGAAATTTGATTATTTTACAATAATATTTTATCAAACTGGCTCAAAATGAACCTAAATGATATGAGAATTATGGTTATAATTGCATAAAAACATGTTAAAGAGATCTTGGTGGAGGGAGCCACCCATGTGTGCAACCCCCATCTGCGTGCTGCTTCCAGATCTCTTTATTCTTAAGGAAAATTCTGAGGTTACTTACATATAATACTCTATAGTACATAATACTCATCTCGTTGAAAACAGTTGTCGACAGCCAGACTTAATCTAATTTTCAGTCCAGAGATTTCTTTCTCATATTTTTTTTTTTATTGTTGATGTACTGTAATAGTATTTTACTAACATTATTATGCACTTGAAGACCTGAATGTTTGAAGTACAGTAATAACATTATAACAACAACTGAATTTCTTGAAACAGTTCAGAAAATCAGTGTTATCTTCTCCTCTCTTCATAGATTTGCCTTGTTCGAACTTTTGCATTTTCCGGACTGGGGACTGCCCCAATTAGTTCAGTGTATCGAAGTTTTATTGTACAGTACTTATATTTCTAAACAAAGTTCTTGAGTTTTAGGACTTCATGATATTAAACTTTTACAATATTTTAAAGTTTAAAAAGTACAGGTATTTGTATTCATGACATATAGAAAAATGCATTAATTAATAAGTTGATAAATGGAAGTATATCTTAGGACAGTAACATTTATCTGCACCTCACTTGAACTTGTATGATAATTAATGGTATTAATAAATACAGAGATTCACAAAGAACACATTCTACATTGAGAAAAACCCAACGATCGTCAACTTCCCAGTGAAGAATATTGACTTGTCGGAGTACTTAACTGAAGAGGTAAGTGGATCGTCTACTGGCCATATTTGGTAATGCAACTTAAACAATACTGGTTATATTTTTGGTTAGCCTTTCCATAGAGATTGAGTTCAGTTTAAGTTGTACTGTGTCCCTTCACACATACAGTACTGCTTCATTGTTTCCCCTTTTCCTGTGTGATTTTATCAAGATTTATCCTGTCCACATTTCCATTGTGGATCTACATGAAACATCACAATGTGTATAATAAGGTAAATTGTCCCACTACATATGGATATATTTATCTATGATTCATCTACCATACAGTATACAGTTGTACCCCACTTAACGCGGTCAATTGAACCCAGAGGGTCCCGCGTTAAGTGAAAACCGCGTTAAGTGAATAACAGAACATATGGGATTAATTCCAATAGAACCCAGCCCGACCCCCAAACTCCACTTTTTGACGACAAATAACTATGTTGTAGTAAAAATTCTATCTTAACTTTATGGTGGCATGAAAAACAAGTAATATAGAAGAGGTTAGGTTAGGAAAGATAAAGGTTAACATAGGAAAAATAAAGAATAGGTTAAAAAACGAAAATTTTTAAGGAACACTCACGGTAGTAGAAGAGATGGGTCGGCATACGGGGATGGAGGCTGGTTCCGAGGCAGAGGGCAGATTACTGCCCCTCAGGTGAATCACCATTACTAGGTGAATCACCATTACTAGGTGAATCAATATCACTGTCACTTACAGTTGTCATGGCTTCCCTGACAAATCCCTCAAAATCACCTTCACTATCACTATCACTGCCTTGGGCTGGCTGTGGTGGGTTGCGGGCGAAGAACTCGGTTATGCTTTTCTGACGGCTGGCTTTGATGTTGTCGTGATACACCTTGATGTACGGCTCCATAGCCTGCACCAGTCGGTTATGGAAGACGTCATGGCGTTCATCGTCAGTGTCGCGGGAAACAATGGACTTAATTTTTTCTGTTAACTCTATGACACACTTAATATCACTATGACTTAAACTAGGTTCTTCGGAGAATGACGCACCTTCTTCCTCCTCTTCACTGGCGGGTTCTTCTTCCAACATCTCGTCGGCAGTCACTTCAGGATCTCTGATCACCTCCATGATGTCTTCGTTGGTGGTCTCGGAGAAGCCTTCAGCTGTAACAGTCTGCGCAGCTTCTCTGGCAAGGTCCACTGCTACTGCAACAGTCTGAACCTCACCAGTAACAGATTGACTCCTCCTCTCACCTGGTATGCCATGCAACACATGTCTCCATGCGTGACGAATCGTAGCAGTAGACAGCAGATCCCATGCCTCCACCAAGAAGTCTACAGCTTGTTTGACGTTAAACTTCTTCCAAAATTGTTTGACGAGAACTTCTTGAGTCGCCGCCTCTTGTTCCTTGTCCTCGTCGCTTTTACTCTCGCTGTCGGTGTCACCCAGCTTACGCAACTCATCCTTGGTGTTGGTAGAGTCGTTCAGGAGCTTGAATTTCTTTGCCGAGTATGCAGCTTTAACGTTGCAGATTAACTCCTGGTCCATAGGCTGGATTAATGACGTGGTGTTGGGAGGAAGGAAGACCACTTTTACGTTGGGGTGACGATCCATTAGTAGGGGCGAGTGTCCAGGTGCGTTGTCAAGGAGCAACAAAATGTTGAATGGAACATTCTGTTGCTCGCAGAATTTCTGCACGTCAGGAACAAAAAAGTTGTCAAACCAGAAGAGGGACAGAGAAGAGGACATCCACGCCTTACGTGCGGTTAGCCAGTGGACATTAAGCTTGTTCATGTCCATATTCTTGTAGGCGTGCGGCTTGCGGGCTTTGTGAATCACCGATAACTTTGGTTTACAGGTACCGGAGGCATTGGTGGTAAACAGGACGGTGATGCGTTCCTTCTGCATCTTCCGGCCCCTTACCTTGCTCGCAGACTGGACAACGAAGGTCTTGGAAGGTAACTTTTTCCAGAAAAGACCAGATTCGTCCATGTTAAACACCTGGTCGTCAGTGTACTGTCCTTCCTCCATAATCTCACGTAAAAACGGAGGAAAATCTCTAGCCGCCGCACGGTCAGCACTCGCTTCCTCACCAACAATGCTGATATTGGTGACCTTGTTCCTCCTCTTAAACCTATGCAGCCAACCATGGGAAGCATTGAAGGGTTTGGGCTCTGCAATTCCCATTTTACGTGTCACTGCTGCGTATAGCTCACGTGCGTACTCCTGCACTGAGCGCGTGTCCACCGCCATGTTGCGTCGCGCCTGACGCACCAAATAACTCACCAGCAAAGTTTCCACTTTTGCCAGCACCCTGTTCTGGCAATACCTGATAGCTGAAGCACCTGCAGACTTTGTGAGCTTCATGTGCTCCTTTATCTTGGCAGCATCCTTCTTGATCGTACGAATCGTAGATTCGTTGACGCCATGCTGGCGCGCGAGAT